AGGTGATTCCTCTCCCTTGAGCACTGGGAGCCCTCAGTAGAGCTCCTTGCTCTACTGAACACACCTTGAAGTAACCCTTCATGTAGACTTCTCATGCCATTGCCTCCTCAGTCCTTCCAGAGGATGCCACCCCAGCTTAACCCTTGTCCACCAGCTGTGCCAGCTGCAGGGGATGGCATGCTGAGCCCTGCTGCTCTGAGCATCCACTATTGCTCTCTCTTGCAGGGGGGGAAGATCCCGATCCGTTGGACAGCTCCAGAGGCCATTGCCTACCGCAAGTTCTCCTCGGCCAGCGACGTGTGGAGCTATGGCATCGTCATGTGGGAGGTGTTGGCCTACGGAGAGAGACCCTACTGGAACATGACCAACCGGGACGTGAGTGCCAGCCCTGGCCCTCCTCCTGCCATCCCCCGAGGCAGCTGAGCAGTGAGGCTGGGGAAAAGGGACCCAGAGATCAGCCCTTGCTGCTCTTCATATCCCCATGGGCTGTGTGCAGGGTGGTGTCCCTTCCATGAGGGCATCAGTGTTGCCCACAGCCTTTCCCTTTGCTCCAGGCCTCTGTCAGTGAGTGACCAGAGCTCATATTGACCTGTCTGCTGGCCTTTTCCAGTCCTGCCCAGTTCCTGGGGACACTGCCTCAAGTCCCCCGGATGAGTGCAGGCAGGGAGCTCACTGCCACCCTGGCTGTGTGTCCTGTGAGTGTACCATCCCTGCCTGCTGCTCTCTGCAAGCCTTTCTGTGGGCTGGAGAGGTTCAGCACATATAGTGCCACCTTGCCCAGACCCATCATCTAGGATCATTGCATCCCCACTGTATTACCCTGCCAGACCCAGTGCTGGGAGTCCAACCCTTCCACTGCCTGAGTGAGGCTGCTGAGAGCCTCGAGCTGGCATCACCCAGCTGTAGACTTGGAGCTTGGAGCCACTCTCACATCAAGAGTAGCATCAAAACTCTAGGTTATATTCTTCACTACAACCTGGAAGCAAAATTTCCAAAGAGAGGCAGTAAAATGAGTGTTTTGACTCTGCAGGATCCATTTTTTTTACCCGTGGGAACTACAAACCTCCCCCTGCTCTGGGAGTCCTGAGAGTCTCCTCTCTTCCTAGTGTTTTTATTAGTTGAGAAGTGGCTTTGGTGACAGCAGGGCATGGGAGCAGTGGCTTCACTACCTCCTCCACACCATTCCTTGGAGCAGGGTTCCCTCCAGCCTTGCTGAGTGGTGTTTGTAGAACAGCCAAGTGTGAGTGCAACACTCATGGCTTAACTGCTGGAGGAACCTGCAATATTTTAGGCCACTAGACCACTGACTATCTCTGCTGTCATCTCCTCTATGGTGTCCAACCTGCTGCCAGCTCTACACAGATGCTGCACACAGCAATTCACTTGTGTTTAGCATGAATGCTGTGCACATCCCCTGCAGCTCACACCCCAGGGGTGTTCCCAGCTGGGATGCTGGGAGTGGGGTGTGGGTGCAGCTCCACTGCTGTGTGTGGCTTCCTCGCAGGTGATTAACTCTGTGGAGGAGGGTTACCGCCTGCCTGCCCCCATGGGCTGCCCCAGCACCCTGCACCAGCTGATGCTGGACTGCTGGCAGAAGGAGCGTGGTGAGAGGCCACGCTTCTCCCAGATCGTGGCCATCCTGGACAAGCTGATCCGAAACCCTGACAACCTCAAGTGCACAGCCACTGTCAATAGGTGAGGGCTCTAACCTGCTCTGTGTGCAGGGCTGAGGGTGGTGCTGGGCAGATGTGCTGGAGTGGAGTTAACTTTCTTCCCAGTGGTCAGTACAGAGCTGTGGTTTGGGTTTGTGCTGGACAGAGTTGATAATATGGAGATGTTGTTGTTGCTGAGCCCACACAGAGCCAAGGACTTTGCTGCTTTCTTACTGTCACACTGGGGAGGAAGTTGTGGGTGCAGGGGAGACTGGGAGGAGATGGTGGATGGTCTCAAAGGAGACTTAGAGAGGTGGGGGATGTCTGTCCTGCCATGGCTGCAGGGAGAGGACGAGAGGGAATGGCCTTGAGCTGAGCC